CGTAGAACTAGCAGTAATTACTAGACTGCCTAAAATTAGCTTTATCATAGAGAAGCGGGAAATCACAATCATACTAATACCTGTACTTTCCGTCTCTCTGATACATTAACAGAAAGCAATGAGCGTGAGTCTAACCAGTTTAATTTATTTCGTGTCCACTGACAATGTAACCCTACACTTTGAACAAACGAAACACATGCGTTCCCTCATAACGCAGCTGCAAGGGTTGTTCGTCTACCTGGTTGTTGAATGCGACGCACTTCATAACCACCAGCCGAATCAAGCTGGCTACCTAGGTGCAGGATACACCAGCTACGCCGATTCTAGCGTGGCCGCTTCTTACGGGGGATACGAGGCTTATGCATCGGTTAGTTCCAATTTTGTTGTCATGCCTTGTTGTAAAGGACCTGAAGTTATAAAAACTATGTATGTATCAAGTCTGTGGCCATAAAAATGTTCAGAGGTGAACGCAACTAGTAACACTTCCCTAACTTCACATTGATGTTCTGACAACGCTTACGGCACGTGTTCTTCGGAGCAATAGCAATGCCTTAACAATGCATGAACATTTTGCTAGAAAGAATGTTCCGAAAGTAAGGTGGTTTTTGTAAAATAATTGCCGGTATCGCTCGTCTGCAAAGTATATATTGAACCTATGTGTTCGTGTACTTGTAAAGATATTTGCTACAGACCACTGTGCTTTGCAGACATGCGTCAAAATTGCTCCTCTTTCGCAGCCGCCTCAGCAGTAAAACTTTGGCTACAACAATGCGGACCAATACGGTAACCGGCAGTTCCACACCGAGAAGGGTGACTCCGACAACGCCAAGACCGGCTCTTACGACTATAAAGACGCGAACGGCCTCTTTCGACGAGTGAACTACGTAACCGACGCGTATGGCTTCCGAGTCACTGTGGACACCAACGAGCCGGGCACCGTACCTGGTGCAAGCGCAGGCGCGGTGTTCAACGCTGCACCGGTAGTCCCACTAGTTCCATCAAGTTCGGGACAGAGTCAGGCACCTGCCCCTTACGGCACACAGCCGGCAGCAGAATACTTAGCTGGGGGCTATGGTGGTTACAGCGGATACAGATACAATCTCTACGCAGGCGCTGCTTGACCCTTTGGCTTCACCCTTTACGGGCGTTACAGGGGCAATCCCAGCGGCTCGGATGAACTCGCCTACGGCGGCCAATCTCCCCGTGGCTACACTTCCACTGGTTATGGTGCAGGTTATAGACCTGGTGCCTACGGCCGCCATGTTGAATACGAAAGCTGGCTTTCCACTAATCACGCACTCCGTCGTCGTTAATGCATTCATTCCTTATTGGGATCCTAGTGATAGGTAATGACCGGCAGTGTTGTCGTGCACCAAGTGGATAAAGAGAGCAAATGTACTTTTGCTTGTTTTCGCATCGTACGCATCACTGGCGGTAATCAATTTCTTGGGGCTGACATCCTGTAAAGACCCGCACTGGTCACTTCGCTGTGTAGTATTGTTGAGATGATTTGTATGAGTAAATAAAAGATGGCACTTTTTAAGATGACGTTTTTTAGCATATTGTGCAGAAAAATCTAAAGTAAAAGAAAATATTTTCAAACAAACAAAACCACTACCACACGCTGAATGTAATGTTTTTATGCGTTATGTTAGCAATCACATTAGGATAAATAAATTGGTTTATGGTTGAATAACGCAGGACCGTTGAAATGAATGAGCCGTTGTGTCATGGTGGCGCTTGTGTTGAGTTTTAAGACATGTCACAATTTAAAAAAAAAACGCCAAGTCTGCATGGAAGGCGCAGCACAGTCAAAGTGAAAGCTAGAAAAGTGGCCTTCCTGAGCCTTTTTTTTAACACTCATTGGGTAGCTCCTGCAAGCCGACTTGCTGGGTACGCACTACGGCATTAAAATAAGAAGTTCTGGGTAGTAGATCAGCATTCGCTGCGTTATTTTTGCCATTCTTCTGAGAAGCGTTGTATCCGCCTAAAACTTGCAAGGAATTTCGTGCCAATTGTTCCTGCAGTGGCTGACGGCGATGATGAATTATGCCGGAAGTGGGTAGGTGCCACAACTATTAGGTGATCAAAAACAAGCTTTTTTAATGGGTTGGAGCATTGGACGAGCGACTCGCTACGCTATCTGCTCAGTGTGACGCCTCGTTGTTCTTTTGCTGTTCTAAATCACTTCATTACTCATATTAAAGCGATTCCTTTCCCGAGATCAAGCCTGCATAAGGCAAGTTTGCGAACCGTTCCGCAGCACCGGCGTGGCTCAGTGGTAGAATACTGGGCTGGAACACAGTGGACCCGGGTTAGAGCTCTACTGTGTCCTTGGTAATTTTTTAAATGCGAAGCATTTCTTAGCGAACTTCGGCGACATTTAGCGTATCTAACTAACTAGCCGCTTACGTTTGGGTGCTCTCGTGGTCCCCCCATTAACTTGGCGGGAACCAAAATTAGCACGGGAAGGTAAGATGGTTTGACAAATATGACGCTTGGGTCAAGGCATGGTTAATAGACAGTTATAGTTTAGCGTTAGCATGATAGCGTAGGTTAAGGGAATGGCGTTACCGTGCAGACACGTTCGTTGTGGGCAGCGTCTTATAGTTTAGCGGGATAGCATTTACATGGTTTTCGTGACCCAGCTGGGATGGTGTCGCCACCTGATGGATGGTTAAAAAGTTAAGCAGTGAAAATGAAAAGAAAACGAGAATATTTGCCTATGACACCACGCGTAGCATTGTTAGAAGTTTATTTTAGTGATAATGAAAGTAAAATAATATGAACCACGCACCAAACGCGAAAACATCTATGTTGCCGATTTGTTTACATCGATCTTGTAGTTAGGCCTAGACGCGTTCGAAATGGGAAGCTATCTACAAAAACTGCACCAACTTGTCGGTAATAATCTGTCATCGAAGCTAACTGAAGGCAAGCGAAGCCACTTTGAACAGTTGTTTGCTGCGAACAAGGTGAATCTTCCAACAACTACTCCAAGATCACTTCGAAGCGCGCGCGTCTGAGAGCACCGCCATGTTTACGTACACTACGCGCATCTACGCTACCACGGTAACGTGAAATCTGAAAAATACCGCGCGTACGGGAAGTGGTACGGGTGACATACGTATCTGCGCATGCGCACTTCGGTTCCGGTATCAGGGTACACCCGGTAACCCGGTATACTATAATTCTCTAATATCCCAACCCTGTCGCGTACGTCGTCAAACACTTCCCGCCAGACAGTGGCACATACCCACGGGCGGGTATGTGCCACTGGTATCTGGGTAAGTGCCACAGGTGATTTACACTTCGTATTTACCCAGGAACGACGTGAAGACACATGGGCACTTTTAACGCGCGAGCGTCAAGAAATACCCGACATCGCAGCGTCGACCCGACGAATGCAAAGAAAAAAGTGTCAGTGTCCGAGCTGGAATCGAACAGAAGCATTTTGCGTGGCAATGAAGCATTTTCCCACAGAGCCACCCCAGGTCTCGGAACTACTTTTCAAACATGCGCTAATCTTCGTGAAACGTCATTAGTGGTTGCACTGCTGCCTTCCCAATTTTATAAACATTAGATATGTACTGCTTTGACACAGCCGTCACGTCGGGTTTACGTCAATTGTGGTTAGTTGCCATGCGCTGAAGTTGATTTATGCATCAGTGTTCAGAGCAAGCATCCTTGCGAGCATGAGTGCTTCATATCAGCTCCTGGTCTTGCTAATACGCATGTTCTACTTGGCATCGTTGCGCAAGTGCAAACAATTGGTTATATAAACTTCTGCAACTCTTCAACATATCTCTGCGCATGCAACAATTTGTACATATACTTAGCGTCGTTTCATGGCGTGTCGCTCAAAAAAAGTATTGCAACACGGTCACCGAAATTTCGCGTGCTTCGCATAGCGTCGATTCTCAGGTACGTGATATCTGCCTAATATTTTTTTCTTATTTTACGATAGTGCTTACGGGCGGCGGCGGCGGTGGCAGCAGACAGCTATGACGCCGCGCGTGAGCCGAGTTTTGACGCGATGGCGTTAGAGAGCTTGTTTCGCCAAAATTCCGTCGTCGGTGCCGTTGGTTGTGAGCGAAAAATCGTCGGTGAGCGAAAAATTGAGAAAGAGGCGAATAAAACGAAGAATGAAACTTTCGGTCCCGTTGAGGAGCGAACGGGTCCGTTCGCGTGGCAAGCAGGTGTCCCGCCACAAAGCCACGATGTCACTTGTAGCAGCTTCGGGGAAAAAAACACTACATAAATGTCATGTAGTGGAAGGAGTCTCCTTAACGCATTTTGTTATACTTGTGTTACGATCAAAACGAGGCCATTCGGACATTTGTAGGCACATTTTGGAGTGTATCAAACTACGTTGAAAAAGGCCGGCATATAGCGCAGCCATCGCCACTAAAACGCACAGGAACATTAAACACATCTAAAAAAGAGAACTATATCCATCTAGCGGAAAACACATCATGATTTTCTAGAGGCGTTGATCAAGCAAACAGCGAATGCTAAATAATGTGCTGCCATCTGTGAGGCATTGTGAGACTCTTTATGATCCTTCAACAAAAAGCCATTTAAACAAACCACAACACTCGCGTAGATTTAGCTCTTCATTCTCACGACACTATTGAAGAAGTGAAGTGATGAAGTTGCCATTTCACCGGCCATAAGGTGATGTTTGTTGTGGTTAGCCGGAAGAAGTCTCCAGAAGAGGTCTCCAGAAGAACAAGTCAAGCAATTGCCAGATAACTAACGCAAGACGGACGACAGAATGTGACCATTTACGAATACAAGTCTCAAGCCTACGCGCAGTTTATAATAGAGGACCATGTGACAATATCTGACGTGTACAATATTTTGATGACGTTGTTATAAAGGTGCTGTAAATAGATCGAAAACCTGTACAATGACACTCTAAAAAAGAGCAAGTAAAAAGGGTGTCATTTTGACCCACAACAATAATCGCTATCTATATTGCGTTCCATCCTTGCGCTATCGCCCCGCGCCCGGTACATTTCAGTCACGATTGACATGCCCATTATCAGGGTTACATTGCATTCTCGATAGGAAAGTGGCCAGCGCCGAGTTTTCAAGATAGGAAGCGCACGCAAGCTTGATGATCATTGTTGTGGGACAAAAAGACACCCTTTTATGTGTGAATACACTTTATAGGCGACCCCGAACCATCCACCGCCGTCAGCGGCGTCCGCAGTCTTCCCTCTATCTTTAAAAGAAAGAGGACTTGGCGGGCCGCAGCGCGACGCTCTACCGAATAAGCCACGGACGCGACGCTGATATCGGTGTCAGTAACGCGCCTTATATCTTTAATACCGCTGCGCGCGTCCACCTCCCCCTTCGCTCGCTCCTCCGCTCTCCTCGCTCGCTGCAGCTGCGCGTGCTCCCCCCTCTCTCGCGCGCCCGCCTTATCTCTCAGTCTCCCGTCGAGAGCGGGTCGTGCGATGGATGTCCCGGAGGCAACGCTACCATCAACAACAAATGCAGTACAACCGAATGCCAGCACTGCACCTGTCGTTGGAGGTGACGGTACCGCGGTGGTTTCGCCGACGTTGCAAGACAAGGCGATGCTGCGAAGGGCTCGTGAGACCGAACGTAAGCGGGCGAAGCGTGCAGCGGATGCCGAACTGCGTGCTCGCGAGGCCGAGTGCAAGCGGGCGAAGCGTGCAGCGGATGCCGAACTGCGCGCTCGCGAGGCCGAGGACAAGCGGGCGAAGCGTGCAGAGGATGCCGAACTTCGCGCTCGCAAGGCCGAGGACAAGCGGGCGAAGCGTGCAGCGGATGGTGAACTGCGCGCTCGCGAGGCCGAGATGAGGCGTCAGCATCGAGCCGCGAACGCGGCCCAAGAAGCGGAACGTCAACGCAAGCGTCAGGCGGAGAAGGGCGATGAAGGCCGGCGTCAAGACGCCGCTCGCAATCGTCAACGGCGAGTGGACGTGGGTTAACGTCCACTCGCCGTTAACGTTCACTCGCCGGACGGCCAGTGAGTTAACGTAAACTCCCTTGTGTGATCAAATTGCAATTTCCAGGAACCATTACACCATAAAGGCACCATAGTGTGATTAATAAATATAATAGTGCGAATTAATAAATACCCCTC